GTGTGTGTGTGTGTGTGTGTGTGTGTGTGTGTGTGTTGGTCAAGAGGTCACAAGGTCCTTAGCCCTTAGCTTTTCAGAGAAGCAGCTGCTGTTAATTTGGGAAATGGGTCAAGCCACCACAAAGACATCCCAAAGCAGCAGAATGAAACACTAAACTGCACAATGTCACCTCAGGGAAGCCAAAACTGAACAAAAGACACAAATATTCTGAAGGAAAGACACATAGCATGAGTGAAACAGGCAAAAAGCTGAATGTGAAATAATTTCTTATTGAAATAAAAACACTGATGACACTTTTTGAACAGAGAGCCGACAGAGAGRCATTCAAACACAGCTGCATGCTTGTTTTAAAGTGTAATGCTATATTTAGTCAGATTTATTTGAGTGCATCACATGTGCCAGTAGGGGGCAGAGTTTTACCAAACATGGTGTGCTGCTCCTCCATGCTGCTGATCTGTTTTCTGATTAAACAAACATTAGACTTATGCTGTGATAATGTTGTCATAAGTAAGCAAACAAACAAATCAGATGACATATTAGCATAAAATGCCATTAATTGACATCAGGGCCGTGTGATTGACAGAGCCGTAATACAGCTGTTATAATAACCGTAATACACGACATATCGGCGCACCAATCAGTTGCCGAGGAGCTGATTGGGTCTGCTACCCCACACCGACTGACTGGGACAGCAGCTGAAGGGAAAGCGGACGGACATCTGCGAAACACAGCGAGCCATCCAGCCAGCCCTCCTCCTCCTCGGTGTCCCGCTGCAGGGAGACATGGCCGGGATCCTGGCGTGGTTCTGGAACGAGAGGTTCTGGCTCCCCCACAACGTCACCTGGGCTGATTTGAAGAACACGGACGAGGCGACGTTCCCGCAAGCCGAGGACCTGTATCTGGCGTGTCCTTTAGCCTTCTGCATCTTCATGATCCGGCTGGTTTTTGAAAGGTGAGCTGGTGGCTGTGGGGATGCGGGTTTGTTGTGTGTCGACGAGCGATGCGCAGCCGTCTGTGTCCAACCCCCCACCACACTCCACACACAAACAATGGCATCTGATTTGGTTTTTACATCCCACAAATCAGCACGGCTGATCATCAGTCTCCTTCAGGCCTTGTCTCTGCTTCACACGCATCTGTCAGAGAGCGCACACAACTTACCACCTGTCTCTGGAGCCTGGAGCTTTCATTTAAACCTAACAAAGAAAGGGGCCCTTCAATAAACAAAATGCATTTTTATTATTATTCTGAATGTTTTGTGTTATGAGTCATGTTGCCTCATTCAGTCATCAACAATGATTACAATGTGATCACAGTCGTTCTTGTCACGTGAGTCTTAAATCTGAGCCTCACAACTTCCATTCATGATCAATGTTTAAAACATAATCTGAGCTTTATTTTAAAAAAATAAACTCCTCAAATGGGATTTGTTGTTAAATCTGGTCGCATGTGTTGACCTCCCACAGCTTCCCATCATTTGTTCTGTCCTCATGTGTTAAAATATCTCAAGTACAAAAAAAGTCAACTTCCTCCTTTAGTCTGCAAATATATTTTATAATAAATGTGTATAATGATTGTCTGCCACCTTTCATGCAAGAGTTTCAAGATCCTCTTATGTTCAGAAGTGACTCATTGTAGCTGTTTTGACATACCTCAGAGTAACTGTTGTGAATGACTCTGCCACTCCAAATTTTACTTCATTAGCTGTAAAACAGACTGGGTTGTAGACATTTTTGTGTGGGCTAATGTCTGTGGGCTGTGGCAAACATCTTAAATTTCCTTGACTCTAAATGTTGAACAGTTGTTTATATAATCCAATAATTACTTTCTGAAAGTTTGATCAAAATCCATGCATTTCTTTGAGATATTTTGCAGTTTTGACTCCCAACAAATAAAGCTAAAGTTTTAAGCAAATATCTAGCATGTTGACAAGCCTTTAAATAATTAACGTGACTATCAGCTACAAATTATTATAATTTTAGCCTCATATCTATATCATAGCTATAGTATTGTGTTTTTAAGGTCAGTTGGCTGTGGTGGCCATCTTTAATTAGATTGGCTCCAAAAGTCAATCAGTTGTTGCGATGCATCCAATGATTATTTCCTGAAAGTTTCATTCAAATCTGCACAGAGGTTCATGAGATACTTTGCYAACAGACCAACAGTTTTGACAACAACAAATAAAGCTAAAGTTTTAAGAAAATATCTAGCATGATGACAAGCCCTTAATGTGACTATCAGCTATAACTTATTATAATTTTAGATCAATATCTATAAAATTGACTGAATTATAGCTATATCATAGCTATAGTAYTATGTGTTTTTAGGTCAGTTGACTGTGGTGGCCATTCTTAATTGGATTGGCTCCAAAAGTCAATCAGTTATTGTGGTACATCCAATGATTATTTCCTGAAAGTTTCATTCAAATCTGCACAGTGGTTGATGAGATATTTTGCTAACATATATAAAAAATTGACTTCAAATGGTTCATGGCAAAACTTGTAATTAAAAAAGAATAAATAATTTTTTTATATCTTTTAAAATATGTGTTAGGGATCAGTCTCAGCTACTAGCTGCACTCCCAAATAACTGAGTATGATCATTACCAACTACAATGTGTTGTATTTATGAATCTAAATTAAACTGAAAATCCTTATTTCATTTTAGTTTTTAATTTTTTTCAGGTTTATTGCAAAACCATGCGCCATGGGTCTAAAAATCCAAGCCAACGGGCCTCAAAAGGCACAACCAAACGCCATCCTGGAAAAGGTTTTTACTGCTATAACCAAGGTGGGAGGTGCATTTTCTTTATGTTTGCCATACTTTTTATAATTTATCATGCGGCTATAAATAACTCTGAAACTCGGTGGGTGTTTTCCTGCCAGCATCCAGACGAGAAGAGACTGGAAGGCCTGTCCAAGCAGCTCGACTGGGATGTGCGCACCATCCAGCGTTGGTTCCGGCAGCGGCGCAACCAGGAGAAGCCGAGCACTCTCGCCAGATTCTGTGAAAGCATGTRAGACCATCTTTAATTTCTAACTTAGCTACAAACACTTKGCTCCAGTGATGAATACCAGCCTGAAACAAATCACAACTGCCAAGAAAATCCATTATATGGACCATTATATCAGCTTAATGCTGGTATTTACATTAGTGCTTCAATTTAACTCACTCCTTCAGCTGATGTGTGTGAAGGCTTATTTAAATAGGCTGCAGCAGATTGCTTTGCATCAACACCACAACTGATAAATATAGTAAAAGCAGGAATGATGGATAACTTTATCAGAGCAAATTTCTGCAAGATCATTTTCATACYATATGAGAGCACGAGGTCAGTCCGTTGGGTGACGGAAAGCAAACGCTAATGAAAAAATAAAAAAACCTCTGATAAATGGAGACATTAAAATGCCTGCGACATGCCTTCAAATACAAAAAGTCAAAGGAAGCATCTTTATATTGAAGAAACTTGACATAATACACATGACTGCATYCATTTTTTCACATTTCTTCTGGACTTGGCTCAGCAAATGTGAAACAGGAAGTAACATCAAAGGGGAACTCTTAAAAGAAAAATCTCTCGGCACTAACTTGCAAACCTAAACTGACCTATTCCTAGACAACCATGTTATAAGTCATCTCTTCTTCCTTTTGTTTTATTTATTTTTTTCCTGGAACAAAAAGTCCACATCTGTAGCAAACATTGCCTTTTCTATAGAACATTGCAGGTGATGAAAGATTGAAATTGAATCCATTCTCTCATYAGTCTAGYGAAATGCTACATGCTAAAAACAAATGGTGTGGATCGTGTTTCCGGAACTGATCAGGSAGTGACTTTTTAATTTTTTGCTCTATGTTATCAATGTTATCTTTCCAAAAATGCTTTCATATCTATTACAAAACATTGGGAATGGAAATTTGTTGTGCGTGAGTTTAAATTGCTCTGTACCCTTCCTAAAAAACACAGAGAGGCAATTATACAGCGAGTAAAATAAGTATTGAACACGTCACCATTTTTCTCAGTAAATATATTACTAGAGGTGCTAATGACATGAAATATCCACCAGATGTTGGTAACAACTCAAGTGATCCATACATACAAAGAAATCAAACCATAAATGTCCAGAAATTAAGCTATTTGTAATAATGTGGAATGGCACAGGGAAAAAGTATTGAACACACTTACTGAAATTTATCTAATACTTTGTACAAAAGCCTTTGTTGGCAATGACAGCTTCAAGACGCCTCCTGTATGGAGAAACTAGTGGCATGCATTGCTCAGGTGTGATTTTGGCCCATTCTTCCACACAAGTCTTCAAATCTTGAAGGTTTCGTGGACCTCTTCTATGAACTCTGATCTTTAGTTCTTTCCATAGATTTTCTGTTGGATTCAGGTCAGGTGATTGGCTGGGCCATTCCAGCAGCTTTAGTTTCTTTCTCTGAAACCAATTGAGAGTTTCCTTGGCTTTGTGTTTGGGCTCATTGTCTTGCTGAAATGTCCAGCCACGTTTCATCTTCATCATCCTGGTAGATGGAAGCAGATTTTTATCAAGAATGTCTCTGTACATTTTCCACTCATCATTCCTTCAATTATTTGAAGTTTGCCAGTACCATATGCTGAAAAACAGCCCCACACCATGATGTTCCCACCTCCAAACTTCACTGTTGGTAAGGTGTTTTTGGGCTGATGTGCAGTGCCATTTGACCTCCAAACATGATGTGTATTCTGGCATCCAAACAGTTCAATGTTGGTCTCATCTGACCAGACTATATTCTCCCAGTATTACACAGGCTTGTCTAAATGTTGTGCAGCAAACTTTAAAGGAGCTTCAACATGCTGTTTCTTCAGCAGTGGAGTCTTGCGTGGTAAACGTGCATACAGGCCATGGTGGTTCAGTGCATTACTTATTGTTTTCTTTGAAACAATCGTACCTGCTAATTCCAGGTCTTTCTGAAGCTCTCCACAAGTGGTCCTTGGCTCTTGGACAACTCTTCTGATAATTCTTTTTACTCCTCTGTCAGAAATCTTGTGAGGAGCACCTGGTCGTGGTCGGTTTATGGTGAAATAATGTTCTTTCCACTTCTGAATTATGGCCCCAACAGTGCTCACTGGAACCTTCAGAAGTTTAGACATTCTTCTGTAACCGATGCCATCATTATGCTTTGCAACAATAAGGTTGTGAAGGTCTTGAGAGAGCTCTTTACTTTTACCCATCATCAGATGGTTCTTGTGTGATACCTGGCCATCATTTGGGACTGAACCAGCTGATATTAACTTGCACTGACAAGGGGCAGGCTTGCTTTCTAATTACTGAGAAAGTTCAGCTGGTGTCTTGGCTTTCCATGCCTTTTTACACCTCCCTTTCTTCATGTGTTCAATACTTTTTCYCTGTGCCATTCCACATTATTACAAATAACTTCATTTYTGGACATTTATGGTTTGATTTCTTTGTATGTATGGATCACTTGGGTTGTTTCCGACATCTGGTGAAAATTTCATGTCATTAGCACCTCTAGTGATATATTTACTGAGAAAAATGTTGACGTGTTCAATACTTATTTTACCCGCTGTATTATTGCTCGTGGCAGTAGTGGATGAGAAGATGCTGGATGGATCTTTAACTATTAACCCTTTAGTTGTGGTTAACTAATTCTGTGTCTTTCATGGCATCTCAGCCGTGCAGCATAAAAATAGTTGCGTTTGTGTGGCAATGTAGTTAAATGTGTCCCAGTCTGACTCACTCTAAACCATCAAGGCGAAGTGGCTAATCTGCAGCAAAGCGTTAGCCATCAGGGAGATTGTACTTACTTAACGGCGTGATGTTCAAGGCTGAGGAGCGAGTTTTGCTGTCAGAGCGGAGTCATGTCTGACACCGGTGGAATAAATCTGGCAGTCAGAGACACGAGGAGCCTCACATCGTCTGATCCGCCCGCGGCTGCTGTTCACTCAGGAGAACGCGTTCAGCTGATTAGGCTRCTGGACCCCTGTTCCAACCTCACGCAAACATGCTTCCTCTTGCACGGGACGAACCCGGATTTACCTGGATCCTGGARTTTGTGTCAACTTGAAAGCAGTTGTTTTCAGCGTAATTATCACCCTCTGCCAAAGGCAAAAGGGTGATAATKTTCTCATAATRTTGCATGAGTTCTTGCACAATGTCATTTACAAGATTTGACTATTTAAAACACTGGCTTGAAAGCTGGTGGGTGGTACGCACACTTTCTGGGAACTCTAGGATTTAATTACGAGTAGTCTTAATACTTTGTCCAGGTTGTCTGTCTCTGTTGGTGCAGGTCTCAGAGCAAAGCCGGTTCAGTCCCTCCAGCAGCGATTGAGCTGTAATTAGGCTCCCGTGGCCCCGTTGTTGCAGACTGATAAGATTCTTTGTCTCAAGTTGAGTCTGATCTGTTGTGTGTTCTTTTTATTTTGCAAACAGAGGGTGTAGAAAGCCATTTTACTCGTGAATTAATGAAGACTCGGCATGGAGCTTTTGTTGTACAATACACCCTTTTTTCAAATACACAGCAGAAATGTCAAACAATCCAATTCAAGTTTTGTTGCTGTTGCAAGAATCACATTGCAAAGTAGTTCTTACAACATACTGGAGTCTTTATAAAAAGAAAAAAATCCCAGCATGACAACACAGCACATCTTGGTAGACGTTGCAGTGCAGTTCATTCCCTCTTTTTTKAAGTGGACACTTTGATGTCAACAGTCCCAGCTGTGTGATCTCATCTTTCTCCATCCATCATCCTCTGTGCTTTTACTAAGAACAAAGACATTATTATGAGTAAAAAGAAAGATGTTAAATATGTTTAATTAACACAAAAAAAGAATACAGATTGTTTTAGATTTCAGTGTAATGCTTTAAGCTTTTAAAGAAGTTGAAACTTTGTCAGGGTTCTGGCGGATCCTTAAAAAGTCTTAAAAGGAATTGAATTCATCAAACCAAAAAATAAAGCCTTAATTAACCTTAAAATGTCTTAAACCAATCTTTCAGAGGTCTTAAAATTGTTAAAACATTGTAAGCAGAATAATTGTAATTCTTCTCAAATATTAAAATAATTGAAAACATTTATTTATTTTTAATAAT